CACAATTACCTGAGGGATCCTTCTCCACTTTATGAGCTCCTTAGCCTTATAATTGTTTCTCCTTTTGCTACCTCCCTTGACGGTGAGCATAGAAAAGGAAGGATATGCATATCTATTTACAGGATAAGCACTGGACTGCTAATCACACGGTCAGCGGTTCACACCCACCAGCCACTTTTCTGAAACCCAATACAGGATTGCTATGAGACAGAACTGATTCCGTGGCACTTAACAACAACATTTTTTTAAAAAATTGAAAGTTTGATAAGTTTGAGAGAGTGGAGAAAGAAGAACAAATAGGAGGCCTCACTTCCTGATCTCAACAGTGACAGTTATCAAAACAGCCTAGTACTGATACACTGAAAGACACATAGATCAATGGAACAGAATTGAGAACCCATAAACCCATGTTCAAATAATCTTTGACAAAGGATCAAAACACATTAAACAGGGAAGAGATCGTCTCTTCAACAAATGGTGCTGGCAAAACTGGAAATCCATTTGCAGAAGAATGAAACAAGACCTATATCTCACACCATTATACAAACACAAACTCAATGTGGATTAAAGACCTAACTGTGAAACCTAGAGCTGGAAAGATCATCAATGAAAAAACAGGGACAAACTTAGAGACTCTGATACTTGGCATAAACACACTAACAAACATAACTGAAAACATATAAACTATAAAAGACAAAATATATGAACTGGGACCTCCTAAAAATTAGACATTTATATGCATCAAAAGATTTCACTGAAAGAGTAAAATGAGAGCCCACAGGCTAGAAAACATTTTTTGGCAGTGACATATCAGACAAGGAACTCTTCTGATTTGTAAAATTTATAGAATACCTCAACACCTCAGCAAGAAGACAAATAATTCAATTTAAAAAATGAGAAGAGGACATGAACAGACACTTCACCAAAGAAGACATTCAGGTGACCAACAGATATATGAAGAAATTCTCATAATCATTAGTTATTTTGTTGTTAAATGTCATTGAATTGGGTTCTGACCCATAACCACCCTGTATAGGGTTTCCAAGGAGCAGCTAGTGAGCTTGAACTGCTGACCTTGCAGTTCAAACCAATTTCACAACGCCTACAAATCAAAACAACAATGAGATTTCATCTTACCCCAGCATTATAGTGACAATTTAAGGATCCCCTGAAGGTCAGACAACTAGTTGGTGGTGTATGCTGTTGAGTGGGTTCTAACTCATAGTGACCTTGTATAGCGTTTCTGGGGAGTAGCTGGAGCTCTTCAAAGCTTAAGTGCTTAGACAGTCCCATGACCACACAGCAGCCAGTGCTAGGTCCTAGTAGGAAGTTGGGGTTGCAAAGTCTGAGAATTAGTAAGTACTTACTGAAGATGACAGCTGGTAGGAAAATGTGCTGACCTAAGAGAAGAGCTGGATGGACACAGTGACTGCAACAGTGGAATCAAACGTAAGAATGGTTGTGAGGTGGGCACAGGACCAGACAGTGTTTCCTTCTGTTGTACATAGGGTCACTGAGTTGGAATTGACTCATGCCACCAAACAACAGCAAGAGGAGAGCACTTTGAAAACTAAGCTCATATTCTTCCCAACTGTGCCCAAGTTTCACCTAGAAATCCCTCTTCAATTTTTTTGGCTTGCCTATGTATGTTCTCATTCAGTGACGTACACCCCAGTTTGAGCTGTCTCTCCTTCCTTTGAATTCCTAAAGAATGTCATATCTTTATCCCTAATGGTCATTAATAACTGCTCACAGAGTCCTTTCCTCTAAATATGGGAACCCATCACTTCAACTGCTTTGGCAGTAGATTCTTCAGGGACAGAGGTCTTTTCTTCTAGAAGCCATTTCTTCAGAAATTCTCCAAATTCTCCTGAGCCTATCAGAGCCCAAGTCAAGTCCAAGTTCCTTTAGGAAGACTGATGTGAATACTCCTAACCGTATACTTACATCTTCCTTCTCTACATCCCTTTTATATTTTCAATTAGTAACGTCTGCTTAATTGTTTGATGCAACTTGTTTGTGTCTTCCAAATAATAACTTCAGATTCTTTAAGCTAATGGCCCAAAATTGACTTCCTCTGAATTTCTTGCAAGATTTTGGGGAAAGGTGTTCATTTTCCTGCAAATGATGATGAATGAATTGCATGCATACCTGCATGAATGAATGGATTTTTCTCTATGAATGCATAACAACATGGCATTTATCATTTCTCCCCTGGCATTTCAGTGGGCTTAGGGACTTTCTATTAGCGTAGTGGTTATGAATCAGGCTGCGAACCTTAAGGCCAGCAGTTCGAAACTATCAGCCGCTCTGCAGGAGAAAGATGAGGTGTTCTACTCCTGTAAAGATTTACATCCTCGGAAACCCTGTACAGGGTCGCTATGGGTCGGAACTGACTCGACGGCACTTAACAACAACAACAACAGGGACTTTCTATTAGATAATCACTGCACAAATGATTTCTCTAACTCTCAACCATCATTTAAAACGTCACATTTACAGAGAATGACTGTTTGCAGAAACTTCTTTCCTTCTCTCTAGAAAACCCAGCCTCTTAACTTCTGCCACTTCTGCCAGAGAATCTGCCCTGAGAATCACTGATAAAAGTGATTGAAAATACAAAGTGCCATATAAATGCTAACTGAGGCTTTAATGAAACAGTAATGATAACTGTTTGCTGATAAACATCACTTTCAAGCCCTGAGAAGATATTTTGCAGGGAGAGGGGGAGCAGAATGTGTCCTGTGCTTGTCCCTGGACCATGCAACACTCTGAGTCACTGAGTTCTGCCTCCATTTGGACACATTTATTTCAATGATCCTGGAATAGTACTGGAATGTAAAATTACTGTCATCACCCACACTGTAGAAAGCAATGTGCTGCCAAGTAATCCATTTCCTGATAATTGCCAAGGTTACTTCACTCAAGCTGATCGTTTAGAAAATAAATGGATTTAGGAGGGAATTTAAAAATGAAATGTTTGGGAGAGTCGGAGACTGAAACCTGAAATGAGATCTGAGGATTATCTGTACGTTGTTTTTCTCACTCTCATAACCAGAGACCATCAACAATAGTTCATATCCTTTCCTATTCTTGCTCGGGAAAATATGTATCTCTAGCAGAATGGCAGAATTTCTCTGATACTTTTTCTGACAATCTGAATGTACACTCTCCTTCTAGTGGAAGGAAGAGGGGACAGGGTGAGATCGGCCTGGGCTTAAGTCCCAACTCTTCTTTATTTACCAGAAAGACGTTGGACAAGTTACTTAACTTCTCTGAGGCTCATTTTCCTTATCTATAAGGTGCATATGGAATCCCTGGATTGGAGGTTTGAGTCCACCCAGAGACACCTTGCAAGGAAAGCCTGGAGCTCTATTTAAAAAACAAACAAACAGAACCCCAGCCATTGAAAATCCTATGGAGCACAGTTTCATGGGGTCCCCATGAATGGGAACTGACTCAATGGCAATTGTTGTAAGTTGCAGATAATGGTAATGGCCAGAGTTTCTCCTGGTCAGCATCACATTAGAAAATGTTTATAAGGCCCCAACTCCGAGAAGGCTCTTAGTTCCAGTTAGGTTCTTTCAGAGAGAAAGTTGGTGTAGGTTCTTGCCCCAAAGCCTGACCCTGCCACCTTCCTGCTGGATAACATTGGAAAAATTACTTGGCCTCTCTGTTACCATTGTTACCTCACTTTAACATAGGGATGATGATGATGATGATGATGATGAGCTTCTCCCCAGCCCCTGGGTTGTTAGGGTGAGTGAGTTAATGAATCCATGATACTACCTAAGTGTTTTACAAGCTATAATCGTTTTTTAAAAGAGTATTTCTTATACCCTTTTAATATCTCTGGAAAGTCTACCTTTTTGTCATTGTTAAGTGCCATTGTGTTGATTCCAACTCATAGCGACCCTGTATGGGTTTCTGAAGAGCGACTGGTGAGTTTGAACTGCCGACCTTGTGGTTCAAACCAACCTTGCAGTCCAGTGCTTATCCTATAGTGCCACCCCAAGACTCCAGTGTCTATGCCAAAAATATTTTAATCACCTGTTTTAGAATAAAAAGGAACTTTTAAATTGTGAATAAGATTTTATGTCTTTTCTTATATTTATTTACTTTTTGCACAAATATTATTGAGTGTCAGCTGTGCCTGGAGTGGCTATATAAGCTGAACATTGATAACCACAAGATTGGCAGTTCAAACCACCACCCATCTGTGGAAGCACTATACAGGGTCACTATGAGTTGGGACTGACTTGACGGTACTTAACAATAAACAACTGTGCTGTGCACATGACCCTGGACTGAAACCACAAGGTCAGGAAAAGGGAGTGCAAGAATTGTACAAAATAAGTCTCAAACCTCCATTCCTAAGGTGGGATGACTTGATGAATAGTAGTTTAGGAACAAGAAAATGAGATTAAATAGCACTTTTCCTGTTTTACAGGTAAGAAAATGAAATGACAGTTCTGACCGATAACCTACCCTAAACCTTAGAGAATGAACTAAGAACAAGCTTAGTGTAAAATTCTCAAAGAGCCGATTTTAGTTCCAGTCTCTACTGGATTGAAAACTCCACAAAGGCAGATTGAGGAACACCTAGCACCCTCCAGCACCCAACACTCGACAGCACCTAGCACTGCCTTACACAGGCCAGAAATGGGTCTTTGAGTTAAACTGAGATACGAAGCCTTATACCCCATATTACCTATTTCTACCTCATCTGGTGTGAGCTGTGGACACAACAACCATATATGATAGACATCTATGAAGTATTGATTCCTTTTGATTGGTGATTTCCAGTTAAACACACACACAGTATTCTTTTTTTTCTGATTAGAAAAGTTAACAAATAAAGGGAGTCTTATCTGCCTACTCACATTTTAGACTCCCAGAATGATCTGTCCCAGTAGCACACAGAAAAGGAAACTAAGAATTGTCCTATGTCTTGGGCATTTCAGTTAACAAGTGTGTGTCTCTCCTGTACCATTTCACAGCTCCCGAGGTCCTCGCCCAGAAACCTTACAGCAAAGCTGTTGACTGCTGGTCCATTGGAGTGATTGCCTACATCTTGTAAGTATTTGCCATCTTGGTTTGTGATACAAACTGCTATGAAACTATTCAGCTAGTTCTAAAACAGGGGTGGGGAACCTTTTTTTCTGCCAAAATTTGTAACATCATTTGTGGGCCATACCAAATTATCTACTTAAAGATTAGCCTGTTACATCGGGTCAGAGATTCAAATTACCCTAGTGTGATGGCTCCGTGGAAACCCTATACAGGGTTGCAGTGAGTCAGAACTGACTTGATGGCACATACAATGTGATGGCTGGACCTGCGGCCAGACCAACTGATTTTGTGCGTCTTATACGGCCCGCAGGCTGGACATTCCCTACCCCTGTTCTAAAAGAACTCACAATAAGAAAAAATATAATGAGACTAGAAACAACCTTTGGAGTCCTCAGGTGACCATCCAGATCCACAGCAGGGCGGTTGTAGGACATGGACGGACCCCTTGCAGTTGTTTGAGGAGGATCCAGTTTGGGTTTTGTTGCTATGGCTTTTGTTTTTGCTTTAAATCACTATAAAGTTATTTTAACAATGTAATTTCTGTTAGCATTTATATTTTTAAAAGCTTATATGGTGATGCTGTAGGATAGGCACTGGACTGTGAAATACAATGTTGGCAGTTTAAACCTATATAGGGTAGCTATGAGTCAATGTTGACTAGGCGACAGTGGGTTATTATGAAACATACTTTCAGGATGGACTTAGGCCAACTAGTTTATCAAATTGAGGAAATGAATTTCCCCTCCTCATCTTCCCCAATGAAGGATGTGTTCTCTGGCAGGCAGAGGCCCTGCACACAATGAAAACCTAGAGTGCTGTGATCAGAGGAAGGTCTGACAGTACGTGGCTTCCGGTTCTCCTCCGGGAGTGCTGGAAACCTTTCCTTTGAATTGGCTCATTATCTCTGGCACAGACAGCTGGACAGTTTCTATAATTTAGTGTGGATTTAGGTGACAGGTCCTGTAGCTTCTTGCCATTACGACAGAAAAAATTTATTCATTATAATGTTCTTGGCCTGCAGGGCTTCCACTTATGGAAATAGGTAAAGGACGGATTTATCTGAGCTGCAAAGCTAAGTTATTGCATTCAGAATTTGCTTTCACTTCCAGAGCATAATGACCATATTCTGCAGCGGTTTTATTCATTTGCAGGGGCAGGTCCTTTTGAGAACTGAATGAAAGCTGTGGACCCTCTCCCCAAATAACGAGAACACACAATTCTGCATGCCATTTTAGGGGGTCTCCTGAGTAAACCCTGGTGTGGTGCTATAGGAAAGCACTGTAGGATAATCTCAAGGTCAATGGTTCAAACCCTAAACAGGGTTGCTATGATTTGGAACCAGTGGTATGGTACTTAACAGCGCCAAGCAGACACTTCACCTAGGTCCTGAGTTATTTACCCTGCTTCCCTAAATCCTTACCTAAATTCTTATCAGAAGTCAGGCCTTGCCCAGCTTGATGGTGAAAAGGCTTAAAGAAATGAATGTTAGGCCAATCCCTTTTCCTGCAAAAAACTTTATCTGGTATATGCTTAGAGAACTCTTCTCTGAAGTTGGGCAAAAAATGGTCTTTTATCTGACCTCTGCTTGTTTTTCCTTTACATCTGTTCTGATTCCTTTAAAATTATTTTTTTGTTCTTGTGATAAAGTAGATTTTTTTCAAGTTTGCCTTTTGAACCATGTCTAAGTGTATAATTCAAAGGCATCAGTTACATTCACTATGTAGTGCAAATGTCCCCACTATCCTTTTCTAATGCTTTTCAGCCACCCTTAACAGAAACTCAGGACCTCTTAAGCAGTAACTCCCCATTTCCTCCTTCCCCCAGCCCCTGGTAATGATTCATGTTTATCTCAGTGCGTTTGTCTACTCAAAATATTTCATGGAAGCGGGATCATGAAATAGGAGGGGGCTTCAAAAAGTTTCTGGAAAAATTCCATTTTTCTGTGAACTTTTTGAAACTCCCTTGTGTTTGTCCTTCTGTTGCTGACGTATTTCACCCACAGAAGTCCTGATTGCACAGTGGTTAAAGCATACAGCTCCTAACTGAAATAAGTGGTTCAAACCCACTAGATGTTCCGCAGGAAAAAAAATGTGATAGTCTGCTTCCAGAAAGACTATAGTCTTGGAATCCCTGGGGGCAGTTCTAGTCTGTTCTGTAAAATTGAAATGAACTCAGTGGCAGTGAGTGTTCTTTTTGTTGTTGTTGTTGTCAGTTGTTGTCAGGTGCCATCGAGTCGGAACCAACTCATAGCGACCCCATGCACAGCAGAACGAAACAATGTTCGATCCTGGGCCAACCTCACTACCGCCGCCACACCCGAGTCCATCAATGATGCCACCTGGCTGATCCATCTCATTGGGGGTCTTCCTCTTCTTCTCTGACCCTCCACCCTACCCAGCATGACATCCTTCTCCAACAATTGTTTCCTCCGGACAATATGTCCAAAGTAGGAGAGACGAAGCTTAGCCATCCTGGCCTCCAAGGAGCACTCTGGCTGCACTTCTTCCAAAACAGATCTATTGGTTCTTTTGGCAGTCCATGGCACCTTCAGTATTCTCCTCCAACACCACAACTCAAAGGCATCAATTCTTCTACGATCCTCCTTATTCACTGTCCAGCTTTCACATCCATATGAGGCTATTGAAAACACAATGGCCTGGGTCAGGCGCACCCTAGTCCTCAAGCTGACATCTCTGCTCTTCAACACTTTAAAAAGTTCCTGTGCAGCAGATTTGCCCAGTGCAATACGTTGTCTGATCTCTTGACTGCTACTTCCGTGAAGTTGTTAGGTGCCATCATGTCAGTTCTGCCTCATAGCAATCGTATACACAACAGAACGAAACACTGCAAGGTCCTGTGGGATCCTCACAATTGTTAAATTTGAGCACATTGCTGCTGCCATTTCAATGAGGGGTTGTCCTCTTTTTCGCTGACCCTCCGCTTTACCAAGCATGCTGTCCTTTTCCAGAGAATGTCCCATCTGACAGCATGTCTGAAGTATGAAAGATAAACTCTCACTATCCTGGCTTCTAATGAGCATTCTGGCTGCCCTTCTTCGAACACAGATTTGTTTCTTCTTCTGGAAGTCCATGTCAAGCTCACTAGCCACTCCTTAGAAACCCTATACAGGGTTGCTATGGGTTGGAACAAACTCAATGGCACATAACAAGAACAGACAGTATCTTTAATATTCTTCTTCAATACCATAACTCAAATGCATCGATTCTTCTACAGTCTTCCTTATACGTTATTCAACTTTATGAGGTTATTGAAAAATACCATGGCTTAGATAAAGCACACCTTAGTCGTCAAACTGATATCTTTGCTCTTGAACACTTTAAAGAGGTGTTTTGCAGCAAATTTGCCTAATGCAATACATCATTAGATTTCTTGACTGATGCTTTTGTGAGTGTTGATAGTGGATCCAAGCAAAATGAAATCTCTGACAACTTCAATCTTTTCTCAATTTATCATGATGTTATTTATTGGTCTCATGATGTTGGTTGATGGTTTTGTGCCATGAAGTCAGTTCCAACTCATAGCAACCCTGTACAGGGTTTCTGAGGCTGTAAATCTTTACAGGAGCAGAAAGCCTCATCTTTCTCCCAGGAACAGCTGGTAGTTTCAAACTGCTGACCCTAAGATTAGCACCCCTACTCATAACCACTATACTACCAGAGCTCCTTTACATTGGTCTAGTGGAGAGGATATCCCTACTAAAGTCTTTGCTCTTATTCAGTAAGTATTTTAAGTCCTCTTTGATTCCAGCAAACAAAGATGTATATTGTGTGTTCCAAAGTACCCATTCTTGGTAGTGTTCTAGGTAGTTTGTCATGATCCATATAGACAAAAAGCTATACATAGTCAATAAAGTACAAGTAAACATCTTTCTGGTGTTCTCTGCTTTCAGCCAAGATCCATCAGACATCAGCATTGATATCCCCAGTTCCATATCTCTTCCTAATCCAGTTTGAATGTCTGGCACAGTTCCCTGTTGATGTACTATTGCAGTCATTTTTAAATTATCTTCAGCAAAGTTTTACTTACATGTGATATTAATGATATTGTTTGATGATTTCTGTATTCCGTTGGGTCTCTTTGTAATGGTCACAAATGTGGGTCTCTTCCAAATGGTTTGCCAGGTAGCTGTCTTCCAAATTGCTTGGAATAGATGAGTGAGCGCTTTCAGTTTGTTGAAAGATTTCAGTTTGTATCTCATCAATTCCCGGAGCCTTGTTCTTTTGCCAGTGCCTTCAGTGTAGCTTGGAATTTTTTGGTACAGTGGCTCTGTTTGTACCTTTTGTATTTTTATTTTATTTTATTTTTTTAATGCTTTCTGCATCATTCAGTATTTTGCCCATGGAGTCCTTCAGTATTTCAAGTTGAGGCTTGAATTTTTTCCTCTAATTCTTTCAGCTTGAGAAATGCTGAGCACGTTCTTCCCTTTTGATTTTCTAGCTCCTGATCTTTGCACATTTCATTATCGTACTTGAGTTTGTCTTCTCAAGATGCCCTTTAAGTTTTTCTGTTGAGCTCTTTTACTTCCTCATTTCTTCCATTCGCTTTAGCATCTCTACACTGGAAAATCAAGTTTCATTGGCTCCTCTGACATCCATCTTAGTCTTTTTTTTTTTCCCCTTTCCCGTCTTTTTAATGACCTTTTGCTTTCTTCCTGTATGGTGTTTTTGATGGCATGCTGCAGTTCTTCTGGTCTTTGGTCATTAGTGTCTAATATAGCAAAACTGTTCTTGAGTTGTCTCTAAATTCTGGTCACATATGTTCAAGGTCATATTTTGGTTCTCATGGAGTTGTTTTAATTTTCTTCAGCTTCAGCATATGAGCATCCGATGGTCTGTTCCACAGTTGGCCCCTGGTCTTGTTTTGGCTGATGTTATTTAGCTTCTCCACTGTTTCTTCCTACAGATGTAGTCGATTTGGTTCTGGTGTATTCCACCTGCTGGCATCCATGTGTATAATTGCTTTTTCTGTTGTTTAAAAAAGGT